TGTATAACAAGTATGAGCTAATCAATGAACTAATCAATGCATTATACCACAACTAGTATACAAAGTACATACAATAGAATAAATGTGCACACTATTAAGGCCATAAAAGCTGAAACAACACACAATTAACGCTAAACCACCTGTTTGCCAGGAGAACTGGGACCTCAGATTCCTCATAATAAAAATTAAAATAAAAAACTACTCAAATAAATTTTTATACAAATTCTTACTATACACCAAACACATGCACATGTGTTTTTCACCTTTATAAATTCTAAACTGCATGACAACAAGACATTAATGCAGTCCAAGAGAACACAACAAATCAAGATTTAGGGAGACATGCGCTCAACACATTAATTGCTACAGAATAAGAATCAATCAAACCCAGAACAAATTACAATAAAATTAATACGTCAATTACTACAAACAAAGAAAAAGTGAAACCCATATGATATATCAATCAACCACGAAATGGATTACTTCAAATTAATCAAACAGACATGAAATTAACTCAATTAAATTAAACCAAGTTAAACTAAGAGCCATTCAATAAACCAACCAAGAAATGGGTCACTGCAAACTAATCAAACAGACATGAAATGAACTCAATCAAATCAAACCAATCAAACTAAGGCCATATTCAAACGTCAGATAAACGCAATTAATCCTTCGCTCAATAAACTAATCAAGCAACACAGAAAGAGTGAAGGGTCAAGAAAGTGACTCTTACCCTCACAACAGCACTGATATCCTGGAGAGGGGTTCTTGGGTACCAAGAAGGTAACACGCTGTTACTGGATCTGCCCCTTCTCCGGCGAGAACTCCCGGCCGGCGGCGTGTTCTCTCTGGCCGGTGTAGTAAACCCAAATGGGATCCGACCACGCCCATTTCCGGTCCTCGAAGTCAAACCCTAATGCTGTTGGGGCTCTCTGTCTCGCTGGCGTTCTCGACAAGTCTGGAACAACCTGAAGAACCTGCTCTGGCGGATCTATGTATATACTGCGATTGCGCGATAGCCATTGAGCATAGGTGTCTGCGAGATCAACAGGCGGCCTTGACAGTCTATCTCTTGCTTCAGCCATTTCACGATACAAACTGAAAAGGAAAAAGGAAATTTAGATCAAACAGAGAACAAGAGCTTTCATAATGAAATACAAAGAGAAGAGTCGCACTTTCATAGCAAATCAAAGGGAACTTCGCAAGAAAACCCGGCAATTTCCTGACCCAGATGACATATTCATCAGATCTGAAACTATTCAGAAAATGCAAAATTTTCTGAGGGAAACTACTATCGGAACTTCTAATTTTAAGTGTTCACACAAATAAAAAGATAGAGAAGAGCTCTCACTTTCCCAGAAAATGGAAACTTTCTAGGAAAATTAGGGGTCATCACATCAAGAAACCCCGAAAGTTTTCCGACCCAGATGACATTTCAATCGGAAATGATAATCTTAGGGGAGATCCAGATGCTTCATTTTAGTATACAAATCGACCTAAGAGAAGAAACCCAGATGGCCATTGATTTACCTGGAGCAGAATTAGGGTTTTGGAGCGTTTTCGTTTGACAGCGTAAAGTGGAGGGGGGTCTCTGAAAGTAGAAGAAGAGGAAGCTTGGATTTGTGAGAGAGCGAATGGGCAAATTTTCAAACTGGAAAAATGGGCGGTCTTGTAGACGCCCAAAACCCAACCCCAAATTTTCGCACGTGTCGGGAATTTTCGCACGTGTATCGGGGTTTTGGCCTTTTATCTTTTACTTCTTCTAAGCGGGATCCAAATTTCGAATTGTTTTTGTCCAATAAATTTCAAATTGTCTTAATGAGCGGGATAAACAAGCCAAGTTTGTTTTTAGATTTTGGATCTCGAAGTTATTTTCTCATAACTAGATTTCAAAGTTTAAATAAATTGTTAGATTAGGAAATAATTGGTTTTCTCGACTATGGTCAACTCTTCTCTTAAAAGCCATCAATTTTGAATCTGAATAAACACAATTGTTTGGCAGTACGGTCTAGGCTCTCTACCCTATTATAAAAACTAGGGCTGGGCATTCAAATCAGTAATCCTATCAAATTGCCCAAACCAAATCGATGGTTTGGGTTGGTTTGGTTTTTTTTCAATTTTTTTTCAGTCATCAGTTTGAACTCAAATCAAATCAAAATATATGGTTCGGTGTACGGTTTGCAATATTCAAAATCACAGTTTAAACAAACCAAACTTATGGTATTAAAAAAATATTATATATAATACATAGTTTGAATCTTTTCTTTTTCTTTTCTCTACATCTCTCTGTTTGTCTTGTCTCCATTAGTACCTCTCTCTTTATTTTTTTTCTTCTCCTTCTTCTTACGTCTGTCTTCACTCCCTCTCCCCGTCTCCCTCTTTTTTTTTTCCTTCTTCTTCTTCTTCTTCTTCTTCTTCTTCTTCTTCTTCTCTCTCTCTTCTTCTTCTTCTCTCCATCTCTCCCTCTCTTTTTTTCTTCTTCGCTTCTATGTCTCTCCCTCTCTCCATCACTTTTATTTCTTATCACTTTCTCTCTCTCTCTCTCTCTCTCTCTCTCTCTCACACACACAAAAAGCCAAAAAACTCAAACCGAACTAAACCAACCCACCAAATTCAGTTACCCGAAGTGGTCGGTTTTCATCATTTATGATTTGATTTCTGTTTCCAAAATAGCCAAACCAAGGCTTACGGTTCTATGTTCGGGTTGAGCCCAAAACCGAATCAACCCAAACCAAGCCCACCCCTAATAAAAACCTACCGAGTTTTGGTTTCATATCTCATGAACGAGACTTTGTTGTACAGTTAATTAAATTAAAATAAGTATCATATTAATTTATGAAACAAAAAATTGCAAATTGTAATCATACTATGCCTTTCCAAGTCAAGAGACAAGATGTAATAACAGTCAATGGACAATTAGTTCCTCATGATGATACATTTTAAACCTGTTGCTATGCAAAACACACATAATTAAGAACTGAAATTTACGAGAACATAAATCGAACAATAATTTTTTTAAAAAAAACTCTTGAATGCTGCGCTTGAAGTGACCAAAATCCAAATCATACATCAATTCTGATAAACTTTGTACAAAAGATTCTATATTCTAAAAAAAAACAAACAGCTTCCAATTCCATATACTAATGGAGGCTGTTTTCTGGAAATTAAGCCTCAAAAAAATTGAAGGTAAAAGTTTGATAAAATTAGGAGGAAAAGCAGCAGCCCCCCTTCCTGGAGGCATCCGACTCTGGACTAGGAACAATAATCGCAGTTCCCTTTAGAAGCCCTGAATCTCCACCATCTTGACCATTGGAAGCAAGGGTCTTCTTGCTCATTATCCGGTATATCTCCATTAAAATCATCAAGAAGGCGGTTTCAACATTGGTGGCTTCAAGAGCAGATGTCTCCATAAAAAATAGGTTCTCTCTTTGAGCAAACTCCTGAGCATCTTCAGTTGGCACTGCTCGGAGACTTCCCAAGTCGCATTTGTTGCCAATGAGCATTATAACAATGTTCTTATCAGCATGGCCCCTTAATTCCTCCAACCACCTAGCCATGTGATCAAATGATTGGCGCTTTGTCATGTCATAAACCAGCATTGCTCCGACTGCGCCTCGGTAGTATGCACTCGTGACAGCTCTGTACCTGAAGAGATAATCAAGGGGATGAGTTCTAGAGGCCATAAATTATAATCAAAGACGGAAAGCTAACAGTTTGCAAGGTAAAAAAATAACCAAATTGCACTCTTTGTGTTTTGCAAACAACAAATGTTAGATTTCTTGCAATTACTCAGTCCAAGCTATCGCTTATTAGGACATTTTGAGGTTTCACAATTCTATGTTTCCCCAAAGGAAACCAAAGTCTGTTTCAAGCTTTTCTACATTTCATATAAAAGCAGCTTCAACCACAAATTCCATAATTTTCACAGAATCATAAAGTATATTGATAATATCCATTTGAAGCTGTCATGTAAAAGATTCTCCTTGAAAGACGATAAGCGCTTCCCATGTCCATATAGTACACCTACATTGGAAACCACTGAGACCAGATTGTAGCAAGAAATGGATCCTAAATAAGCAATCAATGTGATGTAACCCGGTGAGATCTCATTCAGTCCACACAGAGTGCATTAGTAGAGTCCCTAACAAGTAACAACCTAGATCGAAATTAAGATTTGTTTTCGGTGTGCAAGTTTCCAAAAAATCAGTCATTCATCTTTAATTAAGTCAGAAGGAAATGGAAGCTAGGTGAAGGAAAGGTGATCAAGAATGATGCGTGGAGGAATCAACAGATGTGTTTGGAGGGTTGTACATGAAGGTGAAGATGGAAGAGCAAATGCAGCTCCTGAGGTAGAAGACCTCTGTCTACACCACCATTTGTGAGCAGCTTGATGAGATGCATAAGATCATCACTGATAAAGAGGATCTTGCTGGCTGGAATGAGGTGGGGAAGCTATATTGCAATCCATCAATGGCATCTGGTGGCCACAAGATAAATTCAAGGTAGCACAGCAGAGAACCCCAACAACTATGCAACTTCAAATTCTTAAAAACTGTATTTCTCAGAAGATCGAAGAGATAATCGTGAGGTAATTACTAGCTCTGCATTGTCATAAAAGCAACATTCATCTCAAATTTCTGAACTGCCTTCAAGCTAAACATCTGTTTTGTGTCTCTACATCATTGCTGTGTGCAACATTAAATGCATCACCATTCTATTTCATATGCTTTCGAAAACCCGAGGCCTCCCCACAAAGATAGTATTCATAATTCCAGACCAGACATTAGATCCAATCCTTGAAATCTGCTCATCCTGCAGCACCTTCTGTTTTATTGATTGATAAACATTTTTGTTTAAGAAAAAATGGAACAGCAATTCCAAAACAAACACATTTGGAGCCCTCCAACTAGAAATACAGATCCTTTATTGTTACCATCCATTTAATTGGTATGCCTTGTGCAACAAGATATCCTAGATGATCTACAAATAGTAATTAAACAAAATTTTCATCATTTTCCGAAAATGAAACAAGACAAGTTATTGGAGACAATGGTGCACCTTTCTTGGCCAGCAGTGTCCCAAATCTGCGCCTTCACCGTTTTGTGATCGAGAATAAGAGTTTTCGTCTGAAATTCGACCCCGATTGTGGCTTTCGAGTCCACACTGAATTCATTTCTAGCAAAGCGCGCTAGCAGCTGTGTTTTTCCAACCGCCGAGTCTCCAATCAACACCACTTTGAACACATAATCAATTTTCTGATTGTAATCTCCGTACAAATTCGACATCCTCACCGCGATCAAACCACACCAGATTGCTTCTCAAACCCACAATTTGGAACATAAAAACCAATATGAAACAATGCTGAATTTTTCCGATCAACCATGTGGGTGCATTTTGTTGGACATGAAAAGCTTGTGCTGCAGCAGAGCAGGAATTGGGGTATGTTTGGAGAATTAGTGAAACAGAGAGGGAGAGAATGGGAAATGTGGTAAAATTAGGGTTTGAAAGGAAGAGGAGAGTTTGTTAGGAGCTGGAAATGGTGGTTTGGTCAATTGTGGAGAAGGGGAGGGAGAGAGGAGTTAGAGGCGGGGAAACCATCGGCTAGTACGGGTCCCATTAACGGTTTTTCAAGTTCACTGTGAGAATAGTTTTGAGTGTACTTGCCGGTACAACAGTTTTGGTACAAGTGGTGAGATCTGGATCGTGTGTTTGATAGGTAGGGCCCGTGGGCGCCATGTGAAACATTCTGGCTAATGCCCTGGAAATTAACAACAACATAAATTTTTATTTATACAAATGATAACCTAAACTACTCTAAATTAATTTAATTTACAAGATGAGAATTCGAATTTGGGTGGAAGGAGACAGGCTCATTGCCATAGTCAACTGCCCTAACACACATTTACCACACATCAAAATCTTAGTTTGGTTCAATCACCCAACATTTGCCTCTAAGTTCTAAGGCCCCGTTTGGTTCATGGGAAAGGAATCTTGGGGATGAGAAATCAATTGCTTTCCCATGTTTGGTAAGTCAGGCATGGGAAATCATTGTCTGACACATGGGAAAGTAGGAGGGAAAATGAAGGGTTTTTCAAGTTCACTGTGAGAATAGTTTTGAGTGTACTTGCCGGTACAACAGTTTTGGTACAAGTGGTGAGATCTGGATCGTGTGTTTGATAGGTAGGGCCCGTGGGCGCCATGTGAAACATTCTGGCTAATGCCCTGGAAATTAACAACAACATAAATTTTTATTTATACAAATGATAACCTAAACTACTCTAAATTAATTTAATTTACGAAATGAGAATTCGAATTTGGGTGGAAGGAGACAAGCTCATTGCCATAATTGACTGCCCTAACGCACATCTACCGCACATCAAAATCTTAGTTTGGTTCAATCACCCAACATTTGCCTCTAAGCTCTAACTTTCGATGGCATTAGGGTGGAGTGAGGAATTGGTAGACTTTGGATTTAGATCCTGTTAAAAATATAAAAAATAAAGATCATAAAACATTTTTTTTGTGGCTGACCAACCTTGGGTTTTACTTTCCCATCAAATCCGTTCCGTGAACCAAACGGGGCCTAACTTTCGATGTCGTTAGGGTGGAGTGAGGAATTGGTAGACTTTGGATTTAGATCCTGTTAAAAATATAAAAAATAAAGATC